CAAACGGAGGGTGGCCCAGGACAGAGCGGACCATGCGTGATCATTCCCCACGGGGAGTGCTTGCTCTCCTTTTTTCTCTCTCCCCTTGTCTCTCTCCAGTGAGCACACATGGTCTCTGACAAGTGTATTTTTAATTTTTTTCAGATTTTACAATAAAAAAGTAAAGGGGGACCAGCAGTTAGCGTAATGGCTGTCACTGGACTCCCACGTAGTCGACCGCAATTCACGTCCTGGACCCGGTGGCTTAAACTCACGCCGGGCATGCATGCCTGCCCAAGATCCCGAGAGGAGAATGGAGGAGAAGGGATTGCGGCGTGACCATCCCCCCTGAGGGGTGATTTCTCACTTTCTGTCTCTCTGTCTCTCTCTGTCTGTCTGGCTGTCTGGCGAGCGCACGCACCCTATAGCAAAAACCTCTCCAAAAAAAAAAAAAGGAAAGGAAAAATGTCAAATATACTTTTATGAAAATACAATCTCGGGGAATAAGGAACAGGTGAGAAGCCCCCTCTCACTCACACACAGCGATCTTTTGCTAAGAACTCCCTCTCTCCTGACTCCGAATCAGAATGTCTAAAGTGACCTCCACCTCATGACCCAGTCTCTCGCTTTACAGGCAGGGAGCCAAGGCACAGGTAGGCTGCGTGAGCTGCTCAAGGTCACAGAGCCCTGCACATCTGTCTCCTTCCAGTCACCGACAGAAACGTGGGGCAGCAGGCGTGCACATGGAGAGATTGTTCTCTTGTGGGGTGACTGAAGAAAAAGTCATGGCGGAACTGAAATGGAAAAGACAGTGGTTTTTTTGGGTTTTTTAAAAAGCAAATCTTGGGACCAACAGTTGGCATAATGACTATGTCGCTGGACTCCCATGTAGTCGACCATGATTCAAGTCCCGAACCCGCTGGCTTAAACACGTGTGCGTGCGTGCCCAAGATCCCAAGAGGGGAATGGAGGAGAAGGGATTGTGGCGTGGCCAACCCCCAGGGGGCGATTTCTCTCTTTCTCTCTGTCTCTCTCTTCTTCTTGGTGAGCACACATGCCCTATAGCAAAAACCTCTCCAAAAAAAGAAAAAGAAAAAGAAAACTTATATATCTGTAAAGTAACACATACTAACAATAAAACTTTTTGGAAATGCTGGTAAGTACAGAGATGAGGAAAGAATCAGTCATAATTCCCTCCCAGAAAAGCAGTGCTCTTGGTGTATTTCTTTACAGCTTTTTTTTCCTGGAACGTAATTGGCGTTTTTCTATTATTTCAATTATATTACTTATCAAGGAACATTATAATTCAAGGACTATTCAATGTTAGAATCATCTCCTTGTAACACCATTTTAATTGCCACATAACAGTCCATTGAAGAGCCTTTGTCATAATTTGCCTAACCTTGTTCTTGTTTTGAGCAGTTAGGTGGAAGGGAAGGATTTAAACAGGCTGGTAAGGTGCCGTCTAGGAGAGTGGGTATCTATAGCAAAGTAAAACATAGAAATGCTCACAGTGTGTATGTTCAAGCTTTGAGGTTGGGGTGATTTTTGTTTCACTCTTTAGGTTTTTCTCAAAGGCACAAAAATGCTAACAAGAACACCTAGTTTTTGTACATCTACCATGTGTTTTATGCCACAAACTCATTTTCTCATTTAGTTGTCATAACAACTGACAGAAAGCTCTAATGTACCTCCATTTCAGAGGTAAGGCAGCGGGTCGCGCAGAGGTAGGGGACTTGCAGTGAGGGGGCGGGGTTCGACCCCAGGCCTGTCGGAGGAGAATCTGCTGGCCTTGACTGCCGTGACGCGTGCCTCACACGTGTTCTGACATACTGCTGGGGTCCGTAGGAGGTCCCAGAGCGGTAGGACGGCCAGCCCCAAAGCCTCCGTGGTTAAGGGGACAGACCCCCATGGCTGAGCATGACTCAAATCTCCGCCCCAGTGGCTTGGACAGCACACCAATGTGTGTGCAAGGGCCCAGGCCCCGCCGGGTGGGGAACCAGCACCCCTCAGACGCCTTCTCCCTCCTTTCATCTGTGTCTCTCTCAGGCAAGTACACTGCTCTCTGGCAATTAAGAAAAAGGAATGGAAATATTAATAAATGGAAAATAATAGCTTGTTTCTTACGTAAGCGTGTGACGTGTTACCTGTAGGGCATAAAGAACAGTCTAGGGACCAACGGTTGGCGTGGCAGTCAAACACGGCCCTCTGTGAGGCAGGCCAGCATGTGTGACCCCGGTCCCCGGCTAGGACTTCCCGAGGTGCGGCCGCGCTCCAGAGCTGGCTGATGCTGGGTGGGACACAACACGGGCTGGGGGCGGCCATTCTCTGTCTCTCTCTCAGCCTCCATTTATCTAAGGAGGGAGGGAGGGAGAAAGAAAATGACCAAACATCCCAGTTCAGTTCAGCTAAGAAAATCATCCTTAAATGAAATCCCCTTAGTCATATCTAAAATGCTTAAAATTCAAATAAGTTACAGGTATCTCTAAAATTTATTTACTACAGGGGGAAAAAGCAGTGTTAATTGCAGCTACGTGTGTTAAGTGTGGATTCTAAGACTGGATGAAAATTATTATGCTAAAAATAATCCCCTGTAATTAAATGAAAACTGCTCTGCACACTTTAATTAGTGAGCAGTAACTTCTTTTAGGTGGTAACAGTAAGTCCTGTCTCGTTAAACGAGCGCCCCAGGCCCCTCAGCTTCCAGTCTTACTGGGAGCAGGGGCGGCCCCACGTCCTTCTGAACTCCCAGCAGGAGCCCCACTCCCTCCTCAGGGCACTCCTCACTGCAGACTCCAGGGACTCACCAGGACGGGATGCACCTGCCTGAGCCAGCAGGTGGGTCACTGCCCTCGAGCAGCACCCAGGGACTTAGGAAAGCCAGGAAACAAAATCTACTTGGAGTTCTCGTCATTTCTAATCCAAGAAGTTAAACCTGCATCCTCAAACATCTGTTTATGAGAATGGACCCCCTTAATTTTCTCCAAACCCCTCGGCATCTATTAATATTCAGAGTCACGGTGGTTTTTGAAGCAGGCCAGCCCCGTAGCCTAGGAGTGAAGGGAGACAGATCCCACATGGCTGGCCACAGTTTGAATCCTGGATGTGGCAGGTTGACAACACCGAGCACTTGTGCGTCATGTGCCCAGAATCCTGTGGGACAGAGGAGCGCTTGAGGGCATCTGCGCTCGGTGGGGCTCCCCTCTGTCTTCCTGCTTTCTGACTCTGATGAGCTCGCATACCCTCTGATAAAAAAGGGGGAGGAGGGAGATCATTTTTCTTTTTTGTTGCTGTTTTTAGCCTCACTGTTTAATTATAAAAGCACACTTTACCCATCAGGAAGCTTAGACAGCGCTGCAGTGTAGAGGCAGGAAGACAACACGATGGCCCCTTCCATCAAAGGCAGGTCTGTTAACGCAGACGTGGACCTCTTCCTCCTACCTAACGGTCACTTTTACAAATTCAGGACCATCTGTTCGTACAATTTGGTTTTCTACTAGAAAGATCCAGTAAAAAACATTTTTAATTTTATTTCTGAACTTTCTCTTGATACCCAGTGGCCACTCCGTGCACCCCTAGCATCTCAGAACAGATCAAAATGCCTCCTGCCAAGGCCTTCACTGAGGGGAGGCTGCCAGCAAAGGGAACAGGACCCACATCCGTGGTTCCCCTGGGAAAGGTCGGGACTCCTAGTACTTAGCAGTTAGGGTTAGCCACACCGGCCCGAGAACTTGTACTCAATAGAAACGAGGTGATGGCTGCCTTCCAGGGCAGACTCGAAGACAAGTGCTTACTCTGAGATACCCACCACCCAGGAGGAGCTAAACTCCAAGTCTGGTTGGCAGTGTGTGGACAAGTCCCGGGACTCTGAGTCATGGAGACTGAGCTTCAGACTCGAGTGTTTAAGGAGTACCCATTTTACATCCGTTTGTGTCCTTTAAGATAAAGGGAACAAAGGGTTTACAAGTGTCTCCCCCCAAACTGGAGGGTATCCTGTACTGGGCTGGAAATCCGGAAGGTTCATGCAGCCCCAGGAAGCAAGGGCAGCATGTCTACCTCCCTGTCTGTTACGATAATGTGGTTTCCACACATTCTTCTCTTTATGTCCCTGCTCCCTGGGGACCAGAGGGCAAGCCAGCGGCCCCTGTCACACCCGCCATCATTCTCCAAGGTCAGGCCAGTTAGCCTGCGAATACTCGAGCGCCAGTCTCCCCCCATCAGAACCCACCACGCTCCATGTCTCCCCGCCCCCTGGAAAGTTCCCAGCCCAAAGATTCTCGAAGATACTTGCTCCTTCCTCCTCCTCCAGAGCCACCTCATGTCCTCCCAGCTCTTGCAGAAAACCTCTGCTTCAGTCTGGGAACACACACCTCCCCTGACGTAAAGGACAATGAATGTCCTGGTTTCCTTTATGAAAGACACTTGGGACATTTTTATCAAAAATACACAAAGTAATCGTTTCCGAAAGATCACCCTACCATAGAAAGACCTAAGGAGGATCCAGTCGGTTCACATCCAGAGCCAGAGCCCCTCGCCGAGCACCTGGAGGCCGCGTTGGCCATGAGCTGATGCGCGTGGGGTTCCGGTTCCAGCTCCGAGGCTGAGCTTCCACACTGGAACCCTCGAGGCTCAGCACTTGGTCGAGAGGAGGGCCGACTCGCGTTCCTCTCCCTGATCCGTAGCCACCTGCCTTCGGAGCCCCACAGAGGTCGCTACAATCCTCTCATCCTCGGGGCAAATCTGGAGGGCACCTTTTGCAAAACGGGTGCCTCGTCCCGACTTGCACGGTGAATTAGGGCTTTAGCCAACTGGCATAGATGATGCTAGCCCTCAGAGAGACCTTGCTTCCTGCTGGAGGAGGCCAGATGAGTCCACCAGCGCTCTGACCACACAGCCCACCTTCTCCCAGGGAGTGGCTGATGTGGCCAGTCCCACGGTCCTCGTCAGCACCCGTCTCCCGGGATAAGCCGTGTGGTGCAGCCTGTTCTTAAGTGCATCTCTTCATCTTTCCTGCCTTCTAGTCCGATACAGAGTTTTGGGACAAGATGCAAGCAGAATGGGAAGAGATGGCCCGGAGGAACTGGATATCCGAGAACCAGGAAGCCCAGAACCAGGTCACGGTCTCAGCCAGCGAGAAGGTAAGCGACTCCGTTCTCACGCCGGTCCATTTCTCTTTGCATCCTACTGTGTCGAGTGGTCAAGAGTTAAAAGTCCAAGAAAGGAAAGGACGGTGTAAGGTCGAGCTGCCCAGGAGGCAATTCTGATGGATGGAGACGGTGTGGCCATGGCCCGTGGAGCAGCCGCTCTGGAGTGCAGGGCTCTTTCTGTCAGTGTACAGACGGCCCGGCCGCCCACCAGCACTCGGTCCAACGGCTGGCCAGGCCCATGTCAGCTGTTAGAGAAGGGCCTCGTCCCTCGCGTCCGGATGTGCTGACGACAGCAGGACAGCATGTGGCAGGGGAGGGACGCAGGCTCACAGGGCTGTGTCACAGAGGGGACACAAAGAAACTGGAAAATGCTCCACAACCAGGTCAATCCCGAGAGGATTCTTTCGAAACGCAGTCCTGATAGAAGCCCGGCAGGTGCACGAGCACAAGGGACTGCCACTCAGACGCCGCAGAGGCCCCTACCCAGCGCTTACTATTCTACACACTTGATATGTGAGGCCAGCAGATGGCACAATGCTTACGTTGCTGGACTCCCTATAATCAACTGCAGTTCGAGTCCCAAACCCGCAGCTTGAAACTCACACCAGGCGCGTGCGTGCGTGCCCAAGATCCCGAGAGGAGAATGAAGGGGAAGAGACTGCGACATGGCCATTCCCCCGGGAGTGATTTCTTGCTTTCTGTCTCTCTGTCTTTTTGGTGAGCACATGCACTCTATAGCAAAAACCTCCCAAAACAAAACAAAAAAACTCTCTTTAAAAAGTGAAATTATTTTTTTTTTTAGAGAGGTTTTTGCTATAGGGCGTGTGCACTCGCCAGAAAGACAGAGAGAGACTGAGAGACAGAAAGAGAGAAATCACCCCCCAGGGGGGATGGCCACACCGCAATCCCTTCTCTTCTATTCTCTTCTCAGGATCTTGGGCACGCACGCACATATGCTCAGCATGAGTTTAAGCCACTGGGTCGGGGACTCGAACCGCAGTCGACTACATGGGAGTCCAGCGACATAGCCATTACACCAACTGCTAGCCCCAAAAGTAAAATAATTTTAAAACACCACTTGGTGTGGGGAGAAACACCTAAGGAATCAGTATAAATGACTTGACAGAAAGGGGTGTGGAATTTCTTACACAGAACACACACACACACACACACACACACACAGGTACAACATATTGTGTAGCATTTATATAGTACGCATGTATATTATATATGTAACTTTTATTTGTGGCAGAGGAAGTCATAATACTGAGTTCCGGGCCGGCCCCTTGGCCTAGTGGTTAAAGAGCCAGACCCCACGGCCTGGAACACATGCCGGGCGAGGCCAGGGGTGACACAGTGGTTTAGGCGTCGACTCCCACGTGGCCGACCGAGCTTTGCTTTACTCACTTTCTCTCTCTTTCTCTCTGTCTCTCCTGGTGAGCACATATGTCCTATAGCAAATTAAAGAAAAATAATAATGATGATAATAAAATTAAGTAATTCTTTTAAAGGAGGAGGAGGAAAGGAAAGGAAAACATGCCAGGCGTGTGTGTGCGCGTCCCAAATCCCGACAGGATGGGGAAGCTGGAGGAGGTGCGGCTGACGGCGCCCCTGCGGTCACTCCTCCCCTCCCTCTCCCCCTCGCTGTGCGGAGTGCTCACGCCCTGACACAGCGTAAACAATGTATGTGCACGTCTGTGGATAACTTTCATGACATGTTGTTCAGCCCAAGTATTTGCTGAGAAGATTCCTCATGCAGCCCTTGTGCTCGGTGGTAGAAACACGGTGATGGGGAGTCGGGTTTGAGGAAATTTGCAGCCTGCATGCACAGTCATTAAATACCTCCTTCTTCCCAGCATTCTTCACTCCTCAGTAAGCCAGGCCAGCTCATCACCGCAGAGCTGCCTTTTCCACAATGGATCTAAGCCAAGTGGGAAGAGAACGCCAGGCTCTGACTGTGACTCGCGCCCCTGGGTGGGCTGGGCCTGCAGCCTGGACTCTGTCCCACAGCCCGCGAGCTGCTCACACCTGTGCTGCTCAGCGGGAGGCCTGTCTCTCCAAGTACCTCTGGGGAGTGCAGACAGCCGCCTCACCTTTTCGTAACCTCAGTAACATCATTAACAACCACCTTACCCGTATCTATCTAATGAAGAGGATTTTAGGATCACTTGTGCTATCGGGTTGTCAGAAAAGTCATGATGTATTTTTCCAATATTTTCTATGCAAAAATCTATTGTGATTTTCCCAACAACCCAATAATGAGGTTGCAACAAATATCTCAGATATGCACTCCAGGTGAGAGTTTAAGTTGGGACAAACTTTCTCCAAACAGTTCAGCTACATGTATCAAGGACCTAAGGACAGTTCATAGCCTGTAACCTCATAACGCCTTCTAAAAGTCTACCTTGAGGTAAGAAGAGACAGAAAAAGATCTGAGCATGAAGCTTTCACTATAGTTTTGTTTATGATAATGCACTTTATTTTAAAGAGAGATTTTTGCTATAGGGCCCATGTGCTCGCCGGAGAGATGGAGACACAGGAAGTGAGAAATCACCCCCCAGGGGGATGCCATGTCATAATCCCTTTTCTGTTCTCTCAGGATTTGGGGCGCGCACACACATGCACCTGCTGTGAGTTTTAAGCTACCAGGTCTAGGACTCGAACCACAGTAGACTATGTGGGATGGGAGTCCAGCAACGCAGCCATTATGCCATCTGCTGGTCCCGATAATGCACATTTTAAAATAAACGGAATGTTCATCAGTAAGGTATTGGGTACATAATTTTAATAAGGGAAAAATAATCATTCTATACAACTGAATAGGACCTGAACTAGAAGACTGTGTAAGTGGAATGAGCCTGTTTAATTTTTCTGCTTAGAGAGAAACACTAGGTTATTATTTGTACATTCTCTATTATTTAAATTTTTACAATAAAAAAATTTGTAACTGTAAAGCATTCATTTCCAACAGGGGCAGCAGAGGCCCCAGTGGGGCAAAACCTGGCTCAGAGTGGGGACAAAAATCATCTTAGACAGAGCACTGCTCTGCAGCCCTCCAAGACCAGAGATCCTGGACAGCACGTGGTATCAACATTTCAGGGACACGGATTTGGCTTTTTTAGCAAAAATGGTGTAGAGAGTCACTGCTTTTTAAATCTTGAGAGAAAATATAATAATTCAAACAAAAAGAACAAAACAAATACCAAAAGGAAAACAGACTTTAGAATACCACAATAGCATTGGTGGTGTCTAGGCTGTGGCATTATGGGGAACTTTCTCTCCTGTTACATTACTCTGTCTCACCTACAATGTACACAGTAGAAATATACTACTTTCATAGTAAGTTACATTTCGTTTGAATTGAGGAAGTTAACTAAAGTGAGTTTGAAGAGAACCTCCTGAATGTAACCATGAAGAGGGAGACTGATGGGTGTCCGGGTGTCTGTGTTGTAGGGATATTATTTCCACACCGAAAACCCCTTCAAGGACTGGCCTGGGGCATTTGAAGAAGGCTTGAAAAGGCTGAAGGAAGGGGACCTGCCTGTCACCATCCTGTTCATGGAAGCCGCGATCCTGCAGGACCCAGGGGATGCAGAGGTGATGAGACCCTCGTTCTGCCAGACTCACCGGGGGCTGCATGTGCAGAGGAGGGACAGGGTGGCACAGCTGTGCTCGCGGCATTTCCATCAAGTCACAGTTCCAGAGCTCACCCGGCTTAGTAGGCTGTGTGTTTAAAAGTCACGAATAGGTGTTTACTTGATTTCCTTCTTCAGCACTTACTGAGCACCGTGTCCCGTAACCTGTACCAAGTCCTGAATTTAAACTCTAAAGAGCAAGAAAAGTTTAACAGCTGAGAAAAGGTGTCTGTGGCTCAGATGTAAAGTCAGAGCAGGACAGCAGGGGCCTCCTACCACCCTCCCTGGCAATCCTGCGAAGTTGCTTTAAGTGGGGAATTAGAGACAACAGAGGAATGGCGTGGGAGGGCATGCTGGGCAGCTGTGGGTGTGTCTGTAAGAGCACCAGCAGTGCCAGGCCAGCAGGGTCGCAGGTTCAATTCCCAGGGCCTGAGCACACAGGCGTGCTGGCTCCTGATCCTAGCAAAGTGGGGCAAGGGATCGAGACCTGCTGAGGATGCTTGTCTTTCTCTCTCATGGTAAAATTAAACTTTAAAAAAAAAGAAAAAAAGAATGACGCTCGGGTAGAGAAAATGGGTACACAAATGAGTACAAGCCTCTGCCGGGTGGAAGAGAGGTGGGGAGACTGAGGGGGTGGAAGGGAGACTGAGGGGGGGGGAGGGAGACTGAGAGGGGGGGGAAGGGAGACTGAGAGGGAGGAAGGGAGACTGAGGGGGGGGGAGGGAGACTGAGAGGGGGGGGAAGGGAGACTGAGAGGGAGGAAGGGAGACTGAGGGGGGGGGAGGGAGACTGAGAGGGGGGGGAAGGGAGACTGAGAGGGAGGAAGGGAGACTGAGGGGGGGGGAGGGAGACTGAGAGGGGGGGGAAGGGAGACTGAGAGGGAGGAAGGGAGACTGAGGGGGGGGGAGGGAGACTGAGAGGGGGGGGAAGGGAGACTGAGAGGGAGGAAGGGAGACTGAGGGGGGGGGAGGGAGACTGAGAGGGGGGGGAAGGGAGACTGAGAGGGAGGAAGGGAGACTGAGGGGGGGGGAGGGAGACTGAGAGGGGGGGGAAGGGAGACTGAGAGGGAGGAAGGGAGACTGAGGGGGGGGGAGGGAGACTGAGAGGGGGGGGAAGGGAGACTGAGAGGGAGGAAGGGAGACTGAGGGGGGGGGAGGGAGACTGAGAGGGGGGGGAAGGGAGACTGAGAGGGAGGAAGGGAGACTGAGGGGGGGGGAGGGAGACTGAGAGGGGGGGGAAGGGAGACTGAGAGGGAGGAAGGGAGACTGAGGGGGGGGGAGGGAGACTGAGAGGGGGGGGAAGGGAGACTGAGAGGGAGGAAGGGAGACTGAGGGGGGGGGAGGGAGACTGAGAGGGGGGGGAAGGGAGACTGAGAGGGAGGAAGGGAGACTGAGGGGGGGGGAGGGAGACTGAGAGGGGGGGGAAGGGAGACTGAGAGGGAGGAAGGGAGACTGAGGGGGGGGGAGGGAGACTGAGAGGGGGGGGAAGGGAGACTGAGAGGGAGGAAGGGAGACTGAGGGGGGGGGAGGGAGACTGAGAGGGGGGGGAAGGGAGACTGAGAGGGAGGAAGGGAGACTGAGGGGGGGGGAGGGAGACTGAGAGGGGGGGGAAGGGAGACTGAGAGGGAGGAAGGGAGACTGAGGGGGGGGGAGGGAGACTGAGAGGGGGGGGAAGGGAGACTGAGAGGGAGGAAGGGAGACTGAGGGGGGGGGAGGGAGACTGAGAGGGGGGGGAAGGGAGACTGAGAGGGAGGAAGGGAGACTGAGGGGGTGGAAGGGAGACTGAGGGGGGTGGAAGGGAGACAGATGAGTTTGGACTCTTCTGCAAACCACAGGAAGCTCCAAGCAGGGATGCATCATCACCCGCGTATAAGAAAAGCCCCTTCTGGGAGATGGGGGTGGTGGTGGACGGGCAGGGAGACCCACCCTCCGCGGGTCCAGCCCAGTGCATGCGAAGTGTCCAAACCATCGAGGGCCAAAACCAGAGAGTGGCGGTCTGACACCTTCTTCCCTAGTCTGAGTAACTTTCAGAAATCGTTTTGTAAGGGATAGTCCCAAAGAATTTTCAGAAATTTTAGAAGCAGGTCTGCATGCTGCTGAGGAGACCATGTAGTCCAGTGGCTAGGCTCCTAAGCTGCGTTGTCCTAACTCCATAGGTTCAAATCTTCGTTCTGCTCACTAGCCCGTGGCCTTGGATGGTCACTGAAACCCCCCAAGCCTCTGTTTTCTCACCCCTGAAGTGGATGTGATGCCCGTAACCATCTTGCTGAGTGCTGTGATGGTCACGGTGTTCAGGTCCGCGCCTGGCACACCAGCAGTGAGCCCCGTTACGGATCGTTCGTACTTTACTTAGGTGGGAAGAACAAGCTCTCAGTAGCTATAGCTCCTAATACCTTGCATCAGTGCAATGAGATGGAACTGATGGCTGAAATTCTGAACTAAAACATCAGAATTCTCATGAACTATGCATCCCCTCATATAATACAAACTACGGGCCACTTCCCCAAAATTCATACTGATGTCACTCTACACTTGTAAGTGTCTTCATGTATGATGTATACGTGTGTGTCTGTACTTCCATATGTATGATGTATACGTGTGTGTCTGTATTTCCATATAGACGTATATACACACACACATGCACACACTGTATATGCATGCATATTGACAGAGGTCTTCAAAAAGTTCACGGAAAATGCATGTTATAGAAAAAACCATGCATGTATTTCAAAAAAAATTTTACACCAAAATAAAATCATACTGTAATTCTGTTTTTTCATTAGCTTTTTAAAGTTCCCTTGTGTACACACATGCATACACACACACACTACCCCAGATTCATAAATAAGAACATTGGAGAACTTGGTAGCTAATGGATACCAGGCCAGGACTCGGGGCTCCTGAATCTATGGAGTCCTCAAGGCTAAGATGAGGACCCTGTAGACAGTGGGAACAGCACCAGGGCTAACAGCTAGGAAACGCCCCAAGGAAGACTGTTTCACCAGTCCTAAGAAGCATTGTGAGATAAATGGAAGGTAGATCCAAATAAAGCTGCGGAAATGTTTTGAAGTAGCACTCGTGTCCTGGGGTGGGGGTGGAGGGCTAATCAGTTTCTGTGAGTTTACGCGACACCTGTAATAACTTATATCAGGAAGCCAATACTGTTTTGGTGATGCCTTCAGATGACTAAGGGTGCTTTCCTATAGTTTTGCTTTTAAATGTCTACAGCTTCAATTTCAAGAAATTACAAACTTCCAAAACACGTTTAATTCTGACTCAGATGCACCCCTGCCCCTGACATATTTGAAAACAGTGTCTATAATGAGAGGTTTCCTCATGTGTATTTCTCTTGTAATGCTGTAAGAATTATTGTTCTTATCAGTAGATAGACTCTCTATATTAGAACTTCTCATTCTAGATATGAAAACAGTTACCTACTTGAAGTTGTTCTGCGTATTATTTACAATAGCAAAGGATTACACACAGCCTTAGAGCCAATAAAGGAATTCGTTGAATAAATAATGGGCTATCCATTCAACAAATTTAAAATAAAAAATTATAAGGATTTTGTTAAAATATAAATTTTGCTTCAAATAAAATAAAAATGTAACATATATATAGGGTATAAAGTTAGATGTAGGTTGTGACCATTTTATACGTATTTCATGTACTTTAGCACTCGGGGTGGACACACCGCATGTGGTGGGGATCGTTTCGCTTTTCTTACTTCCTAAATTTTCTAATAACTTTAATTTTTATAATCTCTTCATTTCATACGATTTCATTTTGTCCATCCTGAAATTCCTTATTGCAAACTTCAGACTGACTACATTTCTAGGTTCTGTCTCCACCCCTTCTCCTCACTTTTGTACGTGTTTATATACTGACGTTTTTCGTCTTAAGCTACCTGATGTCATGAAATCTCAGAAATGTGGAGGTTTTCACAGCGCTGAATTACAGAGAAGGGTAAATGCTGAAAGGCTTTGGAAATAATGACAGAGGATCTTGACCTGGACATCACAGTTTGAATGAAGAAATGCATGTGGTGTTTCTCCTTTTGACATAGAATAATTCTGAATGATTCTGTCTCATCTGCAATATCAATATCGGTTGTTCCTTGTAGGCATGGCAGTTCCTCGGGATAACCCAAGCAGAGAACGAAAATGAACAAGCAGCCATTGTCGCCCTCCAGAGGTCGGTAACACCAAGTGCAGGTTGTGGGCCTGGGGGCTTGTTGCCCGACTTCCGTGTCTGGATTTGCTTCTGTCCCTTAGTGAAGCACAGAGTAGAGACTGTGGAGCCCCATGTGTCACATATCCTGTGTTCTGGAAAATAAGAACCCAGGATGGACTGCTGTCCCTGGGCCACAATGTCTAGCTATCTACAAATTGACATTTACTGGCAGCAAAAAGAGTCTCTACTCAAAGCAAACCTAAAATAAAATCATTGAATAACGGGGCTGCCAGGTGGTGTGGTGATTAAGGCCGCTGGAGTCCCACATGTGCGACCGCAGTTCGAGTCCCAGACCTGGCGCCTTGCTTTCTCACTTTCTCTCTCTCACTCTCTCACTCTCGGTCTATCCTTCTCTGGTCAAATTTAAATAAATAAAGTTAAATAAAATAATTCTAAAAAAAAAATCATTGAATAAATAGTTCGTTTTAATTTTCTGCAGCATCTGAAAGTTTCCTTTAGGAAAGACAGACTCAAAATACTGACTGAAGGTCTGGACAACTTTGCGGGGTGGGGGTGGGAACAGATGGTCAGTATAGCAAGTATGACTCCTTACTTTATTAAGCTCCTATTGAAATAGTGGGGAAAGACCTCTACTAAATAGAGGCCACTTTTCCTGCCCTCTCTTATAAGTACTTTCAATAGAGTGTCATAGGGGGAAAACACACACGTCCCATATATATGTGTGTGAGTGTGCACCCTTGCCCTTGTGATACGTGTGTGTGTGTGAATCCCGGAGCTCTAGAATGTTAGAATGAGTTCTAACCCCTGGAATTGTAGGGCTCTGCAGTTCCAGAACTCTGGCCTCCACGATGCTTTTGCTCTCTGAGGGTGAAGTGGCACCGGGGGGGGGCATGGCCCTGCCTTGAGAGTCTCTTCCTGTAAATTAGAGAGCGGGCTCAGAGGTCACGGATGGCGGCGAGCACAGAGGGCCTGGGGTGGCCCCGGCTTGCTACTCAGTCTTACCCAGGACAACCAGGCTCCGTCCCCTCACCCAGGAGCCTGTCGGACCTGCCTTCTCCTTGGCCCCACCGAAATCTGCACTTCATAAACTCCCCATGTTATTCTCACCCACTTCGAAGTTCAGTACCCCTCGCTAACAAGGCCGCCCAGCACGGAGGCAGCACTTTCTCCTCTCCCCCTGTCAGTAACCCGGGGCCACGGGCGCCCTCTCCACAAAGCTCCAGCAGTCCTCAGCTCCGGGTCCAGTTTAGCTCAAGGCCGCTCTCTGAGTGACAGGGTACAGGTAACTTACTGGTAGACCAGCACCCAACGAACGGTATCTCTGCTTCCTCTTAGGTTAGCTATCAGTAAACCTGGCACAAGGACTGGCCACAGTCCCTAGAGTTTTAAAACTATTTATGAAAATTACCAAACCTGGCATTAGTCAGGATGAATTTTAACTTCTTAAAACTATGCCAAGGTCCCAATTTTCATGTAGATAAATACGGTGTTTTCCAAGCACATGACATGAACAACTTAACACTGCTTTTGCAATGTTTAACTAATAATGGCCTTAAATTTTTAAAGAACTGTTAGACTCAAAGAGAAAAAAATCTAAGACCGTTCTCACCGTCTGCTGTGTCCCGTGTCTGCCCTTCAGGTGCTTAGAGCTGCAGCCCAGCAACCTGCAGGCGCTGATGGCCCTGGCTGTGAGCTACACCAACACTGGCCACCAGCAGGACGCCTGTGAGGCTCTGAAGACCTGGGTCAAGCAGAACCCCAAGTACAAACACCTGGCGAAGAGCAGGAAGGGGTCTCCGGGCCTCACCCGGCGGATGTCCAAGTCCCCAGTCGATAGGTACCGTCTCCCCTTCTCGCGACGTCACACCGCAGCTGCCCCGCCACCACAGCTAGTCACTTTCAGGCTGGCTAATGAGCCTCAGGTGGCCTGCAGGACAGCACTGTCCCAGCTCTGGTTGGGAACGCTGACGCTGAGGCCAGGCCAGGACAGGCTTCGAGTTCGAGGTCTGCCTCCCAAGGCTTGGGACCCTATAATTCACTCAAGGAACGCATAATAAACACAGGTGCCCCACGTTTTAGAAAGCCCAAGACTCGGAAATGGGGGAAATCTCTTTCTTCTAGGGATTTTGCTTTCTACCAGGGAAAAATCCTAACATGAAATCCTTTCTTACTGAGGCCTTCGGACATTTAGCTGTGGGTCCCACATCGGCACTCACTGGGTTAGCAGAACCTCCCTGTGAAGACCTTATTCAGCACAGCCTGTGCAACGGAGCATTCCGTGAAAACCAGCCTTTTAGCATTCAGTATTAATAGTCCTCTTCTTGAAGCTAAGATACTTTAAGCAAAATTTTCCAGTCTGTAATGAAGAGAGACTTCTTGAAAGAGTTGAGACTTAACTGTAAATCATTTGTGTCCAGGCTGTTCGGATTACAAGTTAGTTTTCCCTTGTAGCTCAGTTCTGGAGGGAGTGAAGGAACTGTACCTGGAAGCTGCCCACCAAAACGGAGACGTGATCGACCCTGACCTTCAGACTGGGCTGGGGGTGCTGTTCCACCTGAGCGGGGAGTTCAACAGAGCGATCGACGCGTTCAACGCCGCCCTGACTGTTCGGCCCGAGGTAAGGTCGCCCGGGCACCAGCGCCCCTTCCTCTGTGCCGAGTAGATTTTCACAGGTTCTGCTTCTGCATCTGTTTGGCATTTATTTCCCTTCCTCTGACGGCTTCAGTGGTCAGTCCTGAAGAAAGGCCACCTTGGCCGTCAACACTGAGCGCCTAGAGCAGCAGCTTAGCTCCGGGGCAGAAGCAGCGCTGGCTGCACCCTGGTGAGGGAAAGTCGTTTCAGAGTCACCGTAAAGTTGCCGAGTAACTCCCGGCACCACGGTGCGCACTCGTGAGCACCGGACAGGTGTGCATCTCGCGTCCTCTGGCAAGGCAGGGTGCTCACTGTGCCTGGAGCTGGTTGTGAGGGCTCTGACTTTGTCACCAGGACTACTCGCTATGGAATCGTCTCGGAGCGACCTTGGCCAACGGAGACCGCAGCGAGGAAGCCGTGGAGGCCTACACACGCGCGCTGGAGATCCAGCCGGGCTTCATCCGCTCCAGATATAACCTGGGGATCAGCTGCATCAACCTGGGCGCCTACAGGTGAGGCGTGGCCACAGGTGAGGTGTGGCCACAGGTGGGGTGTGGCCTACAGGTGAGGCGTGGCCTACAGGTGAGGCGTGGCCTACAGGTGAGGGTGGTCGACAGGTGAGGTGGGGCCTACAGGTGAGGTGTGGTCACAGGTGAGGTGTGGTCTACAGGTGGGGTGTGGCCTACAGGTGAGGTGTGGCCTACAGGTGAGGTGTGGTCTACAGGTGAGGTGTGGTCACAGGCGAGGCGTGACCTACAGGTGAGGTGTGGTCACAGGTGAGGCGTGGCCTACAGGTGAGGTGTGGCCTACAGGAGAGGCGTGGTCACAGGTGAGGTGTGGATAGCCGCACCACCTCTGCAGTATCCCTCCTCCTCCGTGAGGATGAACATTGGCCGCAGACCCTGAGACCTGTTCAGGGAGAACCATGTGCTCCCCTCGTTCCCAAGCCCCCACCCCAGGGACTGTCACCGACCTGGCCTGGGTTAGGACCAGTCATCTGGGTTTTTCACACACGCAAGGACAGCCCTTTGAGAAGTGCAGATAGTCTAGCTTTTCATCTTAAGGAAAAAACACCTTGAGAACATGAAACCAGCAAAACCAGAACCCGAGTTTGGCAAAGCAAAACCAGGAATTTAGATTTTCCAGTCCTGATAAACCGACAAAGGTAGGGGAGGGGTGGGGGTTACAGCTCGGACTCCCTTTGTCATTCTTCATCATTCCTCATGCCGTTCAAGTCTGTCATGCTTCCTGTTAACAAGGACAAATGGCCTCTCTTTCTTTTGTGTAATAAAAGTATGAGTGATCTTTTCCTTCATTTTTTCCTATTTTTCTAAACAGGCATTACTTTCATAATTGGGGGAAGTAATTAAATATCAGTTCTATTGATTTTTGTTTGTTTTTTTTACCCATTTTTGCTATAGGGTGTGTGTGCTCACCGGGGAGAGAGAGATGGAAAATCACTCCCAGGAATGATGGCCATGCTGCACCCCTTCCTTCTCCTCTCAGGATTCTGGGCATTCACGCACATCTGCCTTGCATGAGTTTCAAACTGTTGGGCCCAGGACTCAAACCACGGTCAACCAGCATGGGAGTCCAGCACCTTAACCACTTCGCCACCTGCTGGCCCCACTGAATACTAGTCTTTAGCCTGCTGAGAAAATGTAAAGCTTTTCCAACAACCTGAGAATGTGTTTGTTGTTGCTTTTATTTGCTTGTTTTGGTTTTGGTTTTTGCTGTAGAGCACGTGCACTTACTGGAGAGACAGAGAAACAGAAGAGAAGTGAAAAATCACCCCCAGGGGGATGGCCATGCCGCAGTCCCTTCTCTTCCATTCTTCTGGGATCTTGGGCACGCATGCACATGCACCTGACATGATTTTGAAGCTATCAGACCCGGAACTTGAACCACGGTCTGCCATGCAGGAGTCCAACACTTTAAGCACTATGCCACCTGCTATTCCTAGCATTATTTTGTATGTTTGCAAATTTCCTTACTATCTTGCTTACTAGAATACAGCTCATCTCCATTTCTGCATCCCATCTGCTGGGATAGCACATATCAGATAATCTCTGGAAAGCTCATGTGTGTACGTGAGAAGATGAAATGAAAAGGTCAATAACATCTCAACTTTATTATAAAGATCATTTTGACTTCACTGAACTACAACTTTCCCAGACCACATCGTGAGAATTATTGATCTTCATGACGAGAGCTTTCATCAGTGACAAAAACTTTCATATAAATTGATTCAAGTACAATTTTTCTTCGAGAAGTTTTTGCCTTAGGGCATATGTGCTTACCAGAGAGGAAGAGAGACAGAGACAGTGAGAGGGAAAGTGAGAAATCGCCCTCTAGGAGTGATCGCCACGCCGCACTCCCTTCTCCTCCATTCTTTTCCTAGGACCTTGGGCACACACGCACATGTACCCAGCATGAATTTCAAGCCACTGGGTCTGGGACTTGAACTGTGCTTGACCATGTGAGAGTCCAGCAACGTAACTGCTATGCCATCTGCTGGACCCCTCAGGTGCACTTATAAACAAAGTGTTCAAATGACTTCTATTACCCCTTTAGAGGCTTAGCAAATCTGAATCTTAGAGAAGATAAGAAATTGGCCTATGGGTAAAAGCTGGACTCGAGCCCTGGTGCTCACAAGGCCAGCCCCACCCCTGCTTCCTGAGAAGGGCCGTGTGCTTTGTTAAGCTCTGACCATACACTCACAACTGCAGATGGGCTAAGTCTTCGAGTCGTCCCTGGAGTAGGGACAGTGGAACACCTTCGTAAGTTAGCCTGGTCTTGCTATTACACGTCCTTTCCCACACGATATTCCTAAAATAAAATTGGCTTTTTTTTGGATTTCACTGTATTTAACAATGATTTTTCACAAAAGAATAATAAGAGATTCAGAAAGTTGTTCATCTGATCATCCAAAACATAGAGAGATGATTTAGAATTTTAGACTAAAATAACCTAATCCATTTTGAAGTGAGCTAATTCTGAAATGTGTTGGATCTTAACGTGTCTGTTTTTCTGCCCTCTTAGGGAAGCAGTCAGCAATTTCCTCACTGCCCTCAGTTTGCAGAGGAAGAGCAGGAACCAGCAGCAGGTGCCCCAGCCCGCGATCTCCGGGAACATCTGGGCCGCCCTCCGAATCGCACTCTCTCTGATGGACCAGCCAGAACTGTCCCAGGCGGCCAACCTCGGTGACCTGGACGTCCTTCTACGAGCTTTCAACTTGGATCCTTGAAGGGAAAGAAAGGAGAAGAATCCCTTATCTGTGTCATTATACTAAGAAATAAAACACTATTTTATTATGAATTTCAAAAAGGGTAAATACAATATGTAAAAGGCCATGATCCTATAACCCAACAGATTCATCCTGCGGACAATGCCCAGCCTCTGTTCAGATCCAAAAGCACAAATGCTGTATATAGAGTCAAAATCAGACTCAAAAGAAGAATTGAGAAGGTCAAGACGCTGAGATAAGGTAACTGTACGTGGAGATCTGCCTTCACGAGCTGCAAGCGTATTGTGGAATGTGTCGTTGGGGTTCTGACCCCAGTTTCAGCTGACACCAGTGAGGGACTTGCTCAGGACACGTGGGGAAAGCATTGCCTCAGGTCAGGGAGCGCTGACTGAAATTCCCCCTTCTGCAAGACTGAACATAGTCTGGGCCGCTGGTGCATGCTCGTATATCAGCCCTTCACTAAAGACAGGCCTTGCTTACACCTGTTCCGATTTTAACTTTTACTGTAGCTCTTTGATTCCAGAGAGGGAGCTTTGCTGGCAAAAGCAGTTTTTGCACTAGAAATTTTTGCTGTTCCCAACCAAAACTTTTCTGGGATTGTATATATGCACTTTAATATCTTATTTATGCCTTGCTGGAGTTTTGTTTTGTTGCTCCAATTTTTAACTTGGGGGTGAAAGATTTGAGAACTCAGCCTTGTTAGATCAACGGACCAAATTTAAAAAAACAATCCTGAAACAGTTTTTCATAGTGTAGGGTTTTGAAGGAATGTTTTTTCTTAAAGTAGATATGACATAGAATGTAAATATGTCAAATAGAGATCTTCATATTCATGTTTTCTGAGACTCTGAATGTGAGTAAGAGGTAAGGCATATCTCTTCATGCGTTCTGTGCGGGGTGGGGGGGAGTTTGACGATATGATTTCCATTGAGTTCATACTAACTTGCTGGAAGTGTCTGCTGGCTTTCTACTGCCCTGCACACTAACTCCATACTGTTCGGATTTTACATAGCAGTTCTTAAAAGTGATAGACATTTCCCCTGAAATTGTTTCCTTCGCTCCACTGTAATCTGCACTGTTCATCACGCTGCATTCGGAATGACGGGAGGTCAGCACTTTCTAACCGTCACTGGATGTCGACCGTTTACTGGCAAAGATGCGTGCTGCTTGGCTCTTTGAACATCCAGCAAGTTCCAGGGCTTTTCTGTTGACAGTGGTGTTCACTGAATTGATTACATTCCATTTAGTTCTCCAGAGTGTTCTGTGTGTGCTTGAGCCTTGGTGATTATTTTGAAAGATACAATTTAAAAGAACTTTAAAAACTGCAAAGTGCTATCCGAAGTATAAACGTAATCCAAGTCCAGTTCTAATAAGTTGACACATTCGTCTTCACATTCCTCCAGAACCATTCCCAAAGTAGTCTAAAACATTTCCTTCTTATTCTTGGGTTACAAATAGCGCATTCCACTCATGCTTATAGTTACACAAGCACACGTGTGTGTGCATACACACACACACAGAAAAAAATAAAAGAATTTGAGTCAAAACAGGTTAGCTGACCAGAGATGGGCTTCAGCTGAGGGCCACCTGCACACATACCGAGAAGCCGAACGCGAAGCGCACTGTGAACCCTCTTGTGCTGCTCTTGAAGTCCGTGAGCTGCCAGGACCCCAAGGTAACATGCAACTACAAGTTCTTGAGGCTTGTCTGTCTGATAACCTGTTCCAGGTTAGAAAGACAAAGCACTGTGGGCACTGTGGTGGGTGCCAGCTCCTGATAGTCACTGTCAGCCCACTGGGGCAAGCGGCAGCCCCAGCTCGACAGGGGCAGTCAGAGCCAGGGATTCACTGGCACCCAGGCAGTCCTGGCCTGTGCTCCCCTAGTCTCGGCTGCGAGGTAAACAAGTGCTGTTCCTGAGGGTTTCCAAGTCCTAGAAACTCAGTCTTGGCGAGACTCTTGGGGCTGCTTGGAAGCCGTGGCCACCATCCCCAAATGCCCTGACGGAGCAGCTCCCGCCCCTGCATGCCCCCTTCTCTCCGAGCTCTGCATTCAGACTGGCCAGCTGACTCGGGCCATCTAAGCCCGTGAGGAGCCTCTGAGCGAAGGAGCGAAAGCACTTGCAGGTGCCCTTGGTGATGCGGCCTGTTCTTGCGGCCTGTTCTTCCAGCCTGCGAGAGTGAATGTGAGACCATTTGGTTTCATCTGCCGCTCAGTGGTGGCAAATTGTGTGACCCAAATTCTATCTTACTAGTAAACTACAAGGCAACTTCAAACTCCACAGAGTTGTCCTACAGGAGCTTAGACGACTGCCTACTCTTACCATTATCTGACAACTGCAGAGCATTCAGCAGGCCTGCTCTGGTATGTCTAGTGTCCGTCAGAGCTAGATTTTTATAGGTTGTTGCCTGTCACAAAGTCAAAAATTGCTAGAGTAGAAGAAAGAGTTGAATTTTCAATAATTTTCTTTGTAAAGTTTAAAATTACTAAAAAGTAAGTGTTTATGGAAATAGAGCACCATCAAAAATTAAGTAGCAAGACTTTAGAACAGCCTTTTTTGTATACACTGTATACATCTTTTTTGTTTGGCGTATAAACGTTTTTACTTATCTATTTTTTTGGACAAAACGGTTACTGGCATTTCATCTCATGGCACTAAAGTGTTGTTTAAATCGTTCTTTGCATGTGAAGGGGCAAGGCGCTCTGGTCTCTCCTGAGGCATCCCGGGAAGGCTTTCAGTTTCTGCGTGTTGATGAGTAGCAGCCCACGAGCTCTTCCAGGAGGCGTTCTTGTATAAAGGTGGCTTTCAGGGCTGACTGTGCCACAGACTGGATGAAGATGGAGAGAAGGCGAGCGGTCACTCCGGAGCTAGGGCGGCTCGGGCTGTTTCTATGACCTCAGCTCCTTAACTGGGGGGAGGTGGGCAAGAGCAGCCCGTACCTCCCAGTCAGAGCCCTTCTTCATGCCCGTTACTTTCTCCCAAGATCACGCCCATGACTCTTGAAAGCAGACAGGTCTTGTCCACCAGGACACTGTCACGGAGAGCCTGTTCGGCTTCCTACTAGAAGGACGGAGGGACGGCACGTAACCGGAGGAGCGCCCGGAGCACAGCTTCTTCCAGGGTTCACGCCACTTTCCTTACTCTTCTCTTTAAGGAGAACTATGGTGTTGAAACTGGGGCCCAGTCCAAGTGCTTGCACAGGAAGACCTTTCTAGTACATTCTTGCCTTACAAGAAAGACTTTGACACAGCTGTAGCTGGTCCCTCTTAAAACAGGAGCTCCTAAACCCTTTACTAAAGCTCCTTGGGAGTGCGGAAGGAGTAAGATGGCCACTTGAAGGTGTTCCTCACCTGCCCTGAATCAGTCCCATAAGCCTGGACTTTCGGTTACTGCAGTGGGGGTGACTATTCCTCAAAACGCTTCTAGAAGCATTCTAGAAACTGGGTATTCTGAAGTGTGTTTTATGCACCATCCCTTCTTGAGCTCTCTTTAGAAGTTACTACACATGCATGCACGATTTCAACTTCATTAAATCATTTCAAATTTATTTCACATTTAAATTTTCACTGCAGTTTTCCTATCATCTAAGTAGTTTTAGAACTGGTTGAAATTAAACTGTCTTAAACTAAGAAGCAGGCTTATATATATTTGTGAAGAGTGTACACAGATGAATTATGGCATAAAGTGTGTAAAAAGGCAATGTTTAAAAACCCCAAACATATGATAGCCTCAGGCACAAAAATAACGCATGCATTAGTACTCGCAGATCTGCCTCCTTGGGTATTAACCAGAGCATGCCAGGTACCTCGGCGAACGTATACTCACACAGTGCATGACTAAGCCTCATAGGTCAGCTTATTCGTCCTTGCTTCTGAGCGAGGAGCAGCTTCACGAACTTTGTGTCTCGTGTTTCTGTCTGCTTTCCTCACCCCACCCTGAGGTCGTTTCGCACTACCGCTCCGAACTTTGCAGATACTCAGCATCTCTGGTTTGTGCGGTCTGTAACCAGTGCCAAGCTAACCCTCTGAAGAACCCAGGTCTTTAGACATCTGAACACTTGAAAAACCTGCCTTTCTTCTTGGAACCAGCAGATGGTGTGAGGTTATGTACCTGGACTCCCATGTAGTCAACTGCAGTTTGAGTCCCAGACTCAGAGGTTTGAACCTCATGCTGGGCGCGTGTACATGTGTGTGCCCAAGATCCCAAGAGGAAAATGGAGGAGAAGGGATTGCAACGTGGCCATCCCCCTGGGGGGTGATTTCTTATTTTCTGTCTCTCTGTCTCTCTCTGTCTCTCCAGTGAGCACACAGCCCTATACCAAAAATCTCTTTTAAAAAAAATGGAGGCACAATTTGAAACAGAAAGAAACCTGAGTGTCTGGACACTGTTAAATGACATCACGCCACATGCCTCAGCACGCAGTTTGGGACTCTGGCTTCCTAATGATGCCTTTCAGCCCTTTCCTAAAAGTTTAGGAGCAAATAGGAAAACTCACATTCTAAATAAAGTGGAGTGTGAGGGAAAACCATCAATGGCATGGGGACAGGAAGCTGTCTCCCACGCCTGTCCCGTGGTACTGCTCTGATGCTGCCCTGTGTATGTGGTGGGTGAACTGCTCGGGCCGTGGGCCTGGACCAGCTGGCCTGGAGCAGCAGGTCTAACACACTGAGGTGCGGGGGGGATGAGGTGACCACATGGCCATGCAGAACCCACTCCAAAGTCCTCTCTCTGCCTTTTTCTGTACCCCTATTTTATGAGAATAGCAGAAGTGAAGAGAGCAAAATTCAGTAAGAGGATGGGATCTTAGGTTAGTAGCAGCTTCATTACCCACTTCTTGCTCCCCCATGCTCCCCGCAACACACAGGAGCTCAAAGGCAGTTTCCCTGCACAGCAAAGGCAGTTGTGTGGAGCAGTCCACAGTTAAAAGAAAAAAAAACAGAAAATTAGAAGTGTGATGTTTAGCAATCTCTCGTGTGGTATTTTGCCTTGAACAAAGTTTCTGCTGTCTGCAACCTCTGCAAAAATACCAAAATAACACACTCTGGAAACAAGTGCCCTGATCTCAGAACTGCTTTCTCAGGACCTTCTCTACAGGAGAAAACTAACTTGCCATGTTGCAGAGCGTCACAGTAAAGCCCGGAAAAGCTTGATTATTTTGAAACCTGCACTCAAAATAATATTATGAACAAAAAAAAAGGCAGTTCTTTGCTCGATGACACATAAAATCTGTGTAGTTTGGTTTTTGTTTTGCCTTGGGATTTTGGGGAGAGGAAAATGGTACAAGTACCAAGTGTCTGTACTCAGCCTGGCAGCTGGACCTCGGCACCTCGCTGAGACACGCAGCATCTGTGCGTGGCTATCATGCAGGACCACGCGGTACGAGAAATGTGTTCGTGACCGACTACATTGAAAGTTGTTAAGGAAATATAGCAAACCTTGACTTGGGCCAATTTCATTTCACTCAGAAATCATCTAACCCAAACTCTCACTTTTCATTGCCCAAATGTGTTTACATTGGTTGAAAACTAAACCTAATTAATTTAGAAAACTTTTTACAAACTGTAACAAGCATTTATTAACTATTTAGAAAAGACATTTCTATATATTTTGTATATCTATGAATACTACATATCTAGTCTAAAAATACCACTCTGAGACTAATTCTGTGATGCTTCCTCATCATGCTCAACAATATTTAAAATCTTGGGATTGATTTCATTTTCAAGCTGCGATAGATAACCAAAAAAAAACTAACGTTAAATGTTTACTTCGAGTTTTTGAATTAATACCAACCAAATTAAGTGACCTACACAGAATCAACGCAGTGGGGGGTTAGAGGTCGCCGGCATTCCACGTGACACTGCGCTGTGACCTGCTTCTGTATCGTGCACAGCTCTGCCGGGCCTTAGGCCTGTCTCAGAATTCCCTGCATTGCTCTTTAAAATAAAGTTACTACCATAAAAACCGTATCATACTGATGTGTTTAATTTACTCAGTTGGCTTATAACTTGCAAAATACCAAGATTAAGGTAGTATTTTTGTACTATTACTGGAAGCATGCCTTCCCTTTTTCACATTATTAAATTGTATTTATACTTGTGCAATTTTAAACTATGTTTTCAAATAAACTTTGTCTGTGGCTCAAAGTCTTTTCAGGAATCTTTCAAAATGGAATTTGGGGATCAGAGTTGCTTCAAATCCAATTCACGCTGTACTACAGTTTAAAAGTTTCTCTAATCTCTACACATGATTTTACACACGTTATCTGAAATCAGGAAAGCATTTTTATATATAAAACACAACTTTAAAATCTCCTTTTCCTCTGTTAATTTTTAAGACTAAAATATTCTTTATAGGGAAATTTAATTTTGCAGGGTTCTTTTTAGAATTAAAGTATTACAAATATAGTTCACCTTTAGGATCTTTTACTTTTTGGTCAGTCAGCAAACAGACACCCGAGCTCCAACTACGTGCAGGCACTGTCCTAGCTGTAGGACGCAGAGAACACAGACAAAACTAAACACGCCCCAGGAGAGCTCAGAGCCCCGAGGCCACCTTCAGATGAGGGAGGTGCGGGCAGGTGCAGTACTCAGTGGGCAGCGCTGTTCTATCTGCAGAAGGGGCAGGGAAGGGTCCCCGCAGGCGTCAAGGCTGCGATGTGACCGAGAAGCCAGCCAAGAGGAACTGAAGACAAGCTTCCTGCAGAGCCAAAGGCCAGTGCCGGGGCCAAGGCGGAGGGAGCCCCACGGTCCAGAAGAAAGGTGCAGGGCGGCCTGGCAAGAGGCCCTTCCTAGAGGGAGAGAGGCAGCGATGCCTCCCCGTGGAGGAGGGCGGATTGCAGGCCGGAGGTCGTTTCTGAAATGAAGCCCTGAGTCCAGGTGGCAACAGAGGGAACAGCAAACGTGGATAAGGACAGCCAAGGAGGAGGGACTGGAGCGCCCCTGTCATTTGTCAGTGCCCCTTTTATCTGCGGCTGCACTACCCTCCACGGCCTCCCTTTCTGCTCCATGAAGTCAGGTTGTCCATTTCTTTCCTGCTTCACTCTGTGCTGCGTCAGGGAAAACCCGTCTGGTGGTGAGCCGAGGGTTCTCGCACCAGGTACATGTCCGGGCCTCTTTGAGGTCTCTCCCACTTTCTAAGCATGAAGTATATTCGCTTCCTGAAATAGCTGCTTCTGTGTGGGTGTAAAGGCAGCTCGAGGTTTGAAGAGTTCTTTGGATTTCTTCACTAGGCTCCTTGAGTCATACCATAATTCCCCAGCATGTTATCGCTCTCAAAGGACTGCATTTCCCCCTGTTGACATCCCGTAATTAACAAAGCTGCCTGGTAATCTTCCAGTGCATCGTAACTTGGGGAGCTGGCCCCGTGGCCTAGTGGCTCAGGGAGCTAGACCCCACATGGCCAACTGTGGTTCAAGTCCTGACCCTCCCCTTCACCCATGAGACTCAAGAAACACGCTGGGCACGTGTGCATGCATGCCCAACATCCCGACAGGAGGGAAAGTGGAGAAGAAAGGGTTGCGGTGTGGCGCTGCCCTGGTGGGGTGCTCCCGCCCTTCCTCCCCTGCGTGTCTCTGTCTCTGGCTACCCCACATGTCCTCGGGCATGCAGGACAGACAAGTGCTGGACAAGTTCAGCATGTTTCCCTCTGGGGCTGTGTGGCTGGTCCTCAGTAGGCCCCGCTGGAGATGCCTCCCGGGCAGCACAGCCTCGCCGCGATCATGGAAAGGGGACAGGAGGACGCTGAGCTGACAGATCTACCGCGCGTCGGGCTCCCGGGCTGGCTGCATCTGCTCCACAGGGAGCGCCCACGAGAGACCACACCTCGCGCATGTTTTTGCCCTGATAATGACTTTATCCAGTCCACATTTAGTATCACTGCGGGCAAACATAACAGCAGAAACCATGACGGTGAAAAACCTCTTCTAGATAAAAACTGACTAGGGACTAGCAGTTAGCGTAATGGCTATGTCGCTGGACTCCCATATAGTCAACCGCGGTTCAAGTCCTGGACCCAGTGGCTTAAACTCATGCTGAGCATGTGTGCGTGCGTGCCCAAGATCCCAAGAGGAGAATGGAGGAGAAGGGATTGCGCCGTGGCCATCGCCCCTGGGGGGTGATTTCTCGCTTTCTGTCTCCTTGTCTCTGTCTTTCTGGTGAGTGCATGTGCCCTATAGCAAAAACCTCTCCAAAAAAAAGAGAAAAAACTGACTAAATATCACACCTAACACAAAAACTGCAAAAGCTGACCCAGGTTTGCAGGAAATAACCCAGATGATAGCTGACATTGCTCATGGTATAATTCGCTATTGGTTAAAAAGTGACAAAATCTAGATGTGAACGTTTTAGCCTGGTACAGCTGGACCCCGTAGAAACAAGAGCTGCGAAAGTTCAACAGGGAAACTTCCGGAAGGGTCAAAACTGACCAGTGCCTCAACTCGCCCTAAGATTTACAGAATTGCTAGCAATTAAGCTAATTTCATTAAAATAGAGTAAAAAATGCAAAACCGTGGGAATTATTCAACTTGGGTAACCACCTCACACCTTTTCCTCTTTCCTCAAATCCTCGAAGTCCTGCCTTTCTGACAATGCTGCTTCCTACCTCATGAGAAAATTCAGACTGGAGAGCACTCCTGCCCCGGCCCTCCGCCCCAGCACCTCCCACCCTGCACCCTGGCTCTGCCTTTCTCCCGCTGCCAGACACCGTCTTCGCACGCCCCACCAAACACAGCGCCTCCCACTGGCACCAGACCTCGCCGCTCGCCCGAGCAGGGACTTCGCAGCAGCAGGTCTCCCTCTCCCGGATGCAAGTCCCTGGGCCTCCCTGGGCATTCCGGGCCCACTCTCATGTGGTTATGATCCAGGTCACTGGGAGGGCAGTCGTGGCATGAGGGCCCTGTTGGGGACATCCGTCTCTCAGTCTCTCTTTCTCTCCCTGAATAAATCATAGAAAAACTGAGAAAAGAAACTCTCCCAGCCCTGCCCGCCAGCCACCACTCACTGCGTCCCTCCATACAGAACCCTGGGGAGCGGCTTGCATTCGTCATCCATGCCTCTTCTCCCGGTCTCTTCAGCCCGCTCCTCCCACCATCTCTCCAAGCTTTTCCCACAGAGGTCACCCAAGACCTCCAAGGTGTCCAACCTTATGGTCAAGGCTCAGTCCTTACCTACTTCGGCTGTCTTGTCCCCATAAGACGCTCCTCACTCAGCTCCCCTACTCCAGGCACCAATCCCTTGGTTCCCCCCAACTTGGCAGTCTCCCTCTGCCTCCTCTGCTTCTTCATCTGCTCCCTGACTGTGTAGGGTGAATACCTCGGGACTCAAGTGTGTTTCCTGTCTCCCTTGTCATGGTTAACCCCAGTCCCATCGCTTCAAATGCCATTCAGATGCCAACAACTCCCAAATTTATAGCTTTAGTACAGAACTCTCTTCCCAGACCGAGTTGGAAATCCAGCTCCTCCTTAGCATCAACCATGGAGCCTGTCAGGCATTTCAAACTCAACACAACCCCAGCTAGACCTCCAGTCACTTCTCCATTGCTGCTCCAAGACTTCCCTATCGTAGCAACTTGCTACTGCATTCTTTGATGGATCAAGACAAAAACTTTGGGAGCAGCCTCACCTATGCTTACTTCGTCACAGCCCCCATCTTACACACAGGAAATCCTTCTGGTCTGACCTTCGAATTCATCCGGAATCCATCCTCACTGCCTTCACAGCGACCATCCCATCTGAGCCATCGTCCTCTCACCTTGCTCACACAATGGCCCTACTTCTGCCCTTGTCCTCCTGCCGTTGAGTCTACACACCAAGCTCCTGCAGCATCAGTCAGGTCAGCTCCCTGTTCTGCTCAAGCCCCTACCGTGGCTCCCCATTGCACTGTAGAGTCAACCCCTTCCAATGGCCTCCAAGAACCTTGTGATCTGGCTCTCAAGAGCTCTCCTCTCCCTTTACCCTGTACCCCTCTCCAGCCACACTGTCTTTCTGTTACCCCGAATATGTTCCACTGTGGAGTCTCAGCCCCAGCTAGTCCCTCTGCCAAGCGTATTCCTTCCCCAAATATCCACTCAAGTGACTCTTTCACATCCTTCAAGTCCTGATTCAGATCTCACCTCCAAACGGTGCCTTCCCTGAGTACCCTACTTACAAGGCGATCTGCATATGCTTATTCTGTGTTCTTTTCTCCATAGCTCTAAGTATTTTTAAACATATTATACTACATACTTATTTTTATGCTTAATATGTCTCTCTCTGCTGAAAAAAATAATAAGCTCAGCAAGGTCAGGGATCTATATCTACAGATACATTCCAAGAAAAACAACACATCATGTAATAGTATTTACTGCATGATGCACAATGTTATCTAGGTTAACTAAATTGATTGACTTGATACAAAAGTATTTCAAAAACACTTTTGGGGGAAAAAGTCACCAATGTTGGCTTAATTCTGGTTTTAAAATATATGGATATATTTTAACCTGGAACAAAAAGTCAAACCCTCCATAGGGTCAAAATGCCATATGAGTTTAAAAGATAATGTAAAAAAGATCATGTAAAAATGTCCGCTGTCCACCAGAGTGCCCGATGCAGCACAGGACCTGTCTCGGGAATTAACATGCCACAATACAGAGGAGGCCGAGTGTCAGGGTGCTCGATGCTGACCAGTCAGTCACACAGCCGACCCTGGGAACAGACTCTGACACGTCTATAAGCCTTCACTCTGGTCATTACACGCCTGCCTCCCTTCCACACTGAAAGGCTTCCTAGTGGTTTTTTTTTGTTTTTATAATTTGCCAGAGGGTGTGTGCACTTGCCAGAGAGAGACAAAACAGAGAGAGGACATGAGAAAGCAATGCCGTCCCAGTGCCACATGGCCACGCTGTGGTGCCTTCTCCATCTCCCTCTTGGTATTTGCAGCGTGCGCCCACACACGCCTTGTTTCTCCAGCCCTGGGTCCCAGCTGCACACTTGGTCACTTACCCTTCACAGCACTGGCTGACTCCCCGGTAGATCTGTAAACGATGGATTGCGTGAGGGCCAAGAACAGTTCACTGTTTCCTACTGAAGTTCCCCAGTACAACTCAAGTTGGTCACTGACGACACTTGAAAAGCAGCACACTGAGAGAAACGCTCTCATCACATTCTCCCATTATGCACAGTGGGATGCAGGTGCATGCTAGCAGCAGCTGGCTTGCAAACTGTTCTGAAAGCTTTGCTGTCTACTCACAAATAACCCTTCACTACTCCAGCCGTCCCTTCCCTTCCTGTCCCCTTCATTAAGACGTATGGCGCAACGCTGAAGCCAGTCATCCCTGGTCTCAAACGCTGGTGCATTCTTTTTAGAACTTTGGGCATTGAATGAATGTCATTTTAAGTACAATTAACATACCTCCCCCTCCAAAACAAAAGTCCTCATTCTAACCCCCAAAACCTGTGAAGACCTACATGGAGAAATGGACTTTGCAGATGTGATTATGCGAAGGATCTGCAGCTGGGAAGAGTGTCCTAGGCTATCTGGGTGGACCCTGAGGACTCAGGGGTCTTTAGAGAAGGAGGCAGGGGAGGCAGTGACAGGAGCAGAGGCTGGATGAGACCGGGCTTGAGGGGACCCTGAGCCAGTGAACATGCAGCAGCGGAGCTGGGGCAGCAAGGCTTCTCCACCGCAGCTGCCTGGCTGGCACGTGGAGTTTAGCCCTGGAAGACCCAGTTCGGACTCCTGACCTAACTCGTGTACTGTTTGTGATCATTCGTCACAGCAGTAATGGGAAACCCACAACCCCGAAAACAGTGTCATGGAAATGCTGAGGTCTCCTGAGACGAGGCATGAGTTCCTGCTTCTGCCTGCGTGAAGGAGGCCCAGCACAGAGCCAGGGAGCCACGGGAAGGTCCCAGTTAACCCCAGCGTGACTTGGAGTGTGGCAGAATGTCTGCAGGACATGACCCTCCCTCCTCCACAGAGGTGACGCTGTCCCGTCGCTGATGTTCACACTGGCGGGAACCAAGCGGCCACCACGGCTGCCTGGCAACACCAAAAACCTTTAAAAAAAAAATTAGTCACCGTCTCACATTACCTGTCCCACTGATGGGTGAGGACGGTCAGTGGCAGGGTCCACTTACTGGGCATTTTTCAAAAGAAAGGGGGAAGAAAGAGCCATAAGGGACCTCGGGTTATGAGAATAGCTTTTAATTTAAAACCGAAGCAATACATCATACATCTCTCTTTCCATCACAGGCAAATGTGCTCGCCAAATGTCTGAGATCATTTCAACAACTGTGCCTAGTGCAAAATAAAACAATAAACAATGAATACGAGCTTCTCAGGAGCTGACATCAAACCTGCCGGGCGGGGGACCCGGGCAACAGGCCCAACTCTGAGGGACGCAGAAGTCCAGAGTGGCAGGACTCAGTGTCCCACAGACCGAGCTTTGAGCCGACCACACGGCAACCAGGGAAGGAAGGCCACAAGAGAACGTGCCTAACAGGGAGCCATGGCCCCACACCACCTGCAGCTGCCGGGAGGCCACCAGGCACCAGGCACCGGGAGGGCAGGGACTGGGTGCACAGGCCGCCGGGCCACTCGCTCCTGTCCTTAACAGGGTCATGGGCGCACGCTGGCCTTGAGACAGGAGATCTGCCTTCTGGGTGGTGTGCTGTGCCTCACCAGCTCTGCCTTCACCGAAGATGTGAGTACGGCGCGGCTCCTGCCCATCGGGACTTTGCCGCACTGCCTCCTGCTGGCGTTCTGGCCTACCCCACCACGCGACTCAGAGGGGTCCAAAGGCGTCCTCGAGCCTCGTGTCTCATTCCAAATTTAGTAGACACATTCAGAAAACAGAAAAATAGGTAAAATTACCTTTAATATCAAATTAGAAATATCTTATTGACTCTATATCCAAAATATTATCATTTCGGTGTGTCACTAGGACGAAGGATTGATGAAATGTCACCTGCTTTTCTGGTGCCAAGCCCTGCCAGCGCCAGTGCCTCCCGTGTTAGGACGGCCTTGATTTGCACAGGCCAGAGCAAACGTCCCCGTCACACACGGCTACTGAGCACTCCCGCGTGTGGGGGCTCGGTCCCGGCCTGGGCCAGCTCTCCGAGCCACGTCTCACGACACCGTGTGCCACGTGAGCTGATGCAGCACCTAGGATTCAAAGCTCCTCCACGACCTGGGGCTTCAGCAGAAGAAAAGAAAGTCACCTGCCCCTGCCGTCTGCCGTGTCTCCAAGAGGGCCTGTCCTGGCGAAGTGATTTAGTGACCGCGACGCCCCTGCGGTGAGAGACAGCCTTCTGGGAGCGTCAACTGTCAGCACTTAGTGTTTAAACGTCTTATCAATGTTACAGATTTGGCTGAAGGTACTTGAGGCTTTTCCTGGTGGGTATTTCAAGCGGATTTGGGTTGGGGGGGTGTAGTAAAGTACCCCATGGACTGAAAGGTTATGAGTTCCACCAGTGAAGGAAACATGGGTGAGCATCACAGAAAGCAGAGAGCTGGAATGGGGACAGGGAAACGACACTTCCCAAATTGGGTCACACGAGCTGTGGCAGTCCGACGCTGTGACATGCAGACCTCTGAGCAATCCCTCACATTCCACAGGTCTGACTCTAGTAGAAATCAGGAAATGAGAAGAAGGTACAATTGCGATGGTGGGGCTCCCGAGGGTACCTAGCCTGACCCACCTGTTTTAAAGAAAAGGCGCGGAGAGGGGAAGGGACCCGGCCGGCCCGCTCAGAGGGGAGCCGCGCTCAACCGCGTGTTGGTTGTGGCGAGGGCTGCCAGCGAGCTCGGGGAGGGGAAGGGCGTGCGTGGCGGGTCAGCCAGGGCCACCAGCCGTCCCGCTGGACACCCGACGGCCCTGAGCCAGCAGCGGGGAGAAGGCAGGCACGTTCTCTTGAAGGCGGGGATAAATTCCAGTTGATTCCAAAAGAAAGAGGCAACGCTGATGTGAAATGTTGTTAGAACACGACTCGACTGAAGATTTTTTCCTGCATACTTTTCGCCTTTAAAAGAAAATTCCAATTTCAATCGAATTGGATTTTTGATTAGCTATATGGGCATTTAGAGCAACTGACAAAATAAAAACTTTGACACGTTACATTTTTCAAAGACACAGTCACTGGGATTCTACATAAATAGATAACAAAAGATATTTACAGGAAGAAAGCTCTGTCTTTCAAACGGATGTCCACGTATAGTGAGAATCCCACATGACACCACCACAGCTCACACGGCGGTCTCCTGACAGGCTGATAATCAGGTGACACAATCCACACGCCCTTCCAGTT